GGGAGAGAGAGAGAGAATTTGCATGTCAGAGAGAGTGCGTGCATGCATGCATGTGCTTGAACAACAATACCTACCCATTCAACCCCTCCTCCTTCATAATCCTTGGGAATCCCTCTCTCAGTGTTGTAGACCAGCCAGGCTGTGTTTGAATTCTGACCTTCACGGATTCCATGGGGCAGAGAGCTATGTCGGCAAAGAACTCGGCAGAGGCGCTGGCAGCTAAGTATAGGGATGTCCTCCACAAGTAAGAATTTTCCTACAGATATTTATTTCAGTGATTATTCAAAAAAGGATAAATAAAATAATTTAAAACACTCTAATGGACTTCAGCTTTGTTTGAGTCATTTTTGTTAATCAAAACTTCACAAATACCAAGGTCTACAAACAACTAAGCATCCTCAATTTGTTCTAGAGTCAGACCCAAATTTTCTTTCACTTTACTTATTGAAATGACATTTAAAGATTTTCAGAATAATATTTTTTCATCGTTTTCAACTTATTTAAGGAATAAGGTTAAAATTAAACTTAACTTGATGAGCAAAAACCACTACATATATTCTGGTGTTTTTACAGTCTCAGTGGTGCAGTTTCAACAATTTCAGTGTCCCCAACTTACCTCTCCCAAAAGGTTTCCGTAAATAACTTTAAAGACTTCATAGAAACCAAACTTGCAAAGTCCTTGCATGGAATAACCAATTGCTGTTGGAGCCCAACCTCTGGCAAGTGAAACTGCCCCATCTTCAGCTATGGTCACTTTGAAACCCTTGACAATGCCACCATATTTTTCTGGGTTGGTCTGAATACGGCACTTGACCAAGTCAAGTGGTACTACTGCTGTATGTGTGATTCCACAACTGAGAATGCCACCCAAACCACAAAGGGCGTAGTATTTGGAAGAGCCAAACTCGCAGCTGTATTCCTCTGAAATTCAGAGAAAAAATCATTGTCAATAACTGTCATAATATTTAATGTCAATATATTATATCTATTAACAACAGCTGTATGATGTGTAATTAAACACCAGATTGAGATTTTCAACATGATTGCAAAACAAAAAGATTATTCCATTTTTCATATAAATTTTTTAACAACTTTTGACGTCAAGTCGCTCCCCGAGTTCGACCTAGTTTCCATAAATAGAAATACATTGCGACATCCTCGTGGGAATCACTTCCGTTTCCTGTCATATCACGCGTGCCAGTAGAAAACAAAGGTGATCAACAGAGATTTTTGAGAAATACTATTTAAACTGTCTGTTATGAAGAGTTTAAATTTAATAAATGTTTTAATTACCATCACCACCGCTTCCTTGGCACTGTGCATGCCGAACAGGGCTGGTGAACGGGCTGTTCTTCGCTGCCTCAGCTAGTGCCTTGAACATGTTTTTTCTGAATAAAAAAGCACACGTTATTCTTACATTCAATTCTTTTTTAGAACAAGATGTTGCTAGATAATGACTACAAACTGTTTTACATAAAATCGTAAAAAACTAATGACAACCTCTCGACAACTTACGAAAAGATGGCGTGGATGCCGGGCGAAGGATCGGGTCACGTGGACACCTACTTTTTGATTGGCTAAAACGTTGCTGTGACGCAGTTCGACCTGAATAAAAGAAGTAAATAACTTTACACGTCTCATTTGTCAAAAACAATATCCAGAAGTACTGATTTAATGAGAAATTTTGTGCTTTGCAGGTGTTTTTATACTTGAAAATAAGTATGCATAATATTGCAATATATTTTGTTTTGACTCACAAATGTGTTTTGTAATTTTGAATTAAAGATAATGATACGACTTAGAGTCCGTGTCGCGATCCAAGATGGCAGCAATCCGAAGGCTCTGCCGGCTTCACTCAAGGGTTTGTAACTGGTTTTGTTGTTTTTCTCACTGTAGATCATTATGAAAATGGCAAAATACATTAATTGTATATGTTTTCTCTTGCAGGATGGGTTTGCCACACAGATTCAGCGATGTTTTAGTACATCAAAACCTGCTTCTGTACAGGTGAGTGTCGCGTAGAGCGTCCTTGGTCGACTTTGAAAGATCGCATGAACTTGAACCAGAAAATAAGTTATAGTTAGCTAGTTTAGGAACATTTTACAAAAAATGAATAAGTAGGATGTCCACTTAATTTTTTGGATGTTATTTGTATCACGATCGAAGTCAAGTTTTGGCTGCCAAGCTTGTCATTTACGTTTGATTGAAGAACTTATATTATATTTTTTTCGTCATCATTTTCCTTTGAACATCTAATACATAAAGCATAAAGTTTTTCCCAACCTAGCAGTGTGATCTTTAAGATAATTATCAAACAATTGTCGAATAATCTGGGGCATTTGAAATGTTGACAGTACATTACAATTTAGGACAAGAAAATATTCTTAATAATGTATCCCAGTATAGGATTATTCTTTATCCTGTTTTATTTCTATGCTGTTTGTTTGATTCGGGAAAGTTGATCATGCAGTTAAGTCAGGCTGTTGCTAACAAGGGGTACTTAATATTTGTTCAATTCATATTCAAAATGGTCCTTAAGAAGAACATACAATGTATACAATTATGATATGTGTTGATAGAGATCGTAGTACTTATATTGTATATTTCTATGTTGGAGCTAAAGAAAGACATGCAATTTTAACAAGCATTTTGATTATAGAATTAGGATGGAGTGCTTTAGTATTTTAATTAACTTGGCACATTAATTTTTTATAAATTATACAATACTGAGATTATTTTTATTTCCAATTAATTAGTGATACTTGTCCACAAATTAAGAATTTCATATTTAATTTCAAGGAAATGTTCTTATTTCTATTTTACTGAATGCATGTAAGGATGCTTGCGTGTAGGGTTTAAAATTCATTTATATACATTTGCCATATTTCAGGAGGCAACAAAACCAAAGAAAGTGAGGATATCAAATGTTTTGGCATATATTATTTATTTTGAATGTTTATTGAAATGTTATTTATCATATTTTGTGTTTACTAAGTACTAACAAATGTTTGCAGAATTGCATTTATAATGAATGCCAGTTTGGAACTTCCAGCACCAAGGGTAGTTCAATAAATGCAAAGACATGTATAAATTATTTTTTATAACTTTTTTTTTCATTTGGATAGCAATGTTTCAAATAGGTGGGCATATCAAAGTATATATAAAGTTTTAGTTTGAAGATGATGCAATAAACTGTCATGGTTTTGATTGGAAAGATTGAAAAGTTTAAAGAGTGACAATGCACAAACATGGTTTTGTTTGGTAGTCTGACCAAAATAGTGTTCTGTGGATGAGTAAGTTGTTACAGATATGTGAAAGAAAAGCTGCTTTGAAACAATAAGAGTGCATGGTTATTGCTATTCTTTATCGTGAAGATTAGTAAGCATTTCAGCTACAACTTAACAAATAATAAAAAGATAAATAAAATAAAAGAGCAGTTTAATAATTGGTGATGAGATCATTGAAGATAAATCTTTATTTTATCAGCTTTATTTTGAGCATTTCACCTCCTTTTTTATTGTAAGGGACATTCATTGCAAGTGATGTCCAACAGTTATTTGTAACATTAATTTGCTTTTTATTTCCTTTTAATGAATTATTTGGTGTTCATTACTAATCCTATAAAATTTTTTAACTCAAACATAATTATAAATATAGAAATAACAACAATAAGAATTACATTAGCTCTGATAACATATAATGTTGATATATAACTCAGTCACATATTTAAGCATTCCAGGCTCAAAAACTTGAGAATCTATGAGCAAAAAAAAGTTTTATTTCAATTTTATAATTTAGCTGACAGTTAGAGAGGCTTTAAATGCTGCCATTAAAGAAGAAGTAGAAAGAGATGAACGTGTCTTCTTGATGGGGGAAGAGGTGGCGATGTATGATGGTGCATATAAGGTGAGAAAGTTATATTTTAATAACTTACTTTTATTGTTACTGTTTAAAAACATGATAAAAAACTATCCCATGAGTATAAACATTTGTTTTGGTCTATTATATGATAAAAAAGAGAGAAAAAAATGCTATTTATTAAATGCTGACATAGACAAATGTTTAAATATAATTATACAGTTTGGGCTTATGGTATCGTTACATCACAGGGCTCTTATAGGAAATTGTTTAATGATCTGTTACCCTAACTTGTGTTCACCTTTTGTTCTGCAGATCAGTAAAAATCTCTGGAAGGAGTTTGGAGATAAGAGAATCATAGACACACCCATCACAGAGGTAAATACTGCTAATCAAAGAGGTTTTTTAAATAATAAAAGTTGTATGTGAGTTACAATTTTTAGCTTCCCTATTCTGGTAAACTAATCATACACGGGGCATTTTATGCCCTTTCTCTGATGTGTTTAAATGATGAGCACATACAATTGCTTCATCTTAGCCTTTAAAAATTGAATAGATGAACAATAAGACATTTTTTTTCTTTAAAAATTCATAAGAAAATAAATTGAAATTTTATGAAAGTTTATTTGGGGGATGACCATTTAAAGATGTTGACATTAAATGTTTGGTTTTTAATGGCTCACTGATGATGTACTGTTTTATTTATTTCAGATGGGCTTTGCTGGAATAGCTGTTGGAGCTGCCATGGTTAGTAGACATAATTTTTCTATAATTATCTTAATTACTAACTATTAAGAAAAAATGATAAGTAACAGTATATGTCCTATTTCTTATTCATTTATTTTTTTAAAATCAAAGGATTTTAACTATAAAAAGTTTTTTAACCATGGTGCAAAAGTTTCATAATTTTATATGCACATCTGGTTCAGTATAAGAGTTAATAGATGATATGATCTGATGTTATTTCCAGGCTGGACTACGCCCAATCTGTGAGTTCATGACTTTCAACTTCTCCATGCAAGCAATAGACCAGGTGAGAGCACATATTGTGGTCTTTATCCAAGCTGTTCCCACCAAGGTTTAACCATCTATGCCATCTCTCATCATCATACAATAACATGTTGGTGTTTTTTGGAAGAGAGCTGTTCTCTTGAATTATTGTAAGAAGATGGCAGTCTTGGCGGCTAGATAAGCTGAAATTAAATTTAAAAAAATGAAAAAAATATCTTTAAGATTTTTCTTATGTATAATGATAATTTAAGAGATGGTGCAATATACTCATTGATTCTTTTTTTAAAAATTGAAAGAAATCATGTAGAAGCTTCTTTCATTATTTCTTCAGGTAGATATTTTTTAAAGAGGAAATTTTTTTATGTAGAAGTTCTCACTAAACTTTTTGCTTTATTTCCTTTTAGGTTATTAATTCAGCAGCAAAAACATACTACATGTCTGCAGGAGAGGTATGACTTTCTATTCCGTTGAAAATCATTATACTTGATAATAGAAATGAAGAAGTTAGTACTTATGTCAGCTTAGGAACATTGACTGTAAAAGGATTTATTTAGTTTATTTCCCAAACTATTGTCACAATGCATTTATGATTCTATTGGAATTGCGTAGCAGTAATTTGATCCCTTTCAACATTATTATTGCAGTTCTGAAATCACATGGTTTACTAAATTGCTTCTAGAGTACAGGTGGTTGTAGTTATTACTATTTTTTGCATAGTTCAACTCATGATGAACATTTAAAAAATAATGCTTGCAATACTTCCAGTGTTCATTTGAAATTTCAGGCGATTTTCTACCAGTATTCTGCTAGAAAATATACAGTATACCCAGGGAAATGCACATTAATTAAAAAAAAAAAACTTCTATTAGTTTGGTATATTTACAATACACTAAATATTTGCATAATCTGATTTCTTATATATACTGTCTCTGTTCAGGTAAATGTTCCTGTTGTGTTCCGTGGACCTAATGGGGCTGCAGCTGGAGTGGCTGCACAGCATTCACAATGTTTTGCTGCCTGGTATAGTCACTGTCCTGGCTTGAAAGTTGTCTCCCCCTACAGTGCAGAAGACTGCAAGGGTTTGTTAAAAACTGCCATCAGGGATGACGATCCAGGTGAGAAGGATTGGAAATGGCTTGTAATTTCTGTCTTTTGTTTCTTGGTGTAACTAAGTGAAAGAGCATTGGCAAATGAATAGCAGATTTTAAATCATTGAGCTAGACTTACACTAAATTGAGCATTCGAAAAGATGTCTAGTGATAACTTGAAAAGAATTTTAATGTCTAAAATGAATCTTTTCTTCTTAAGAGCATGACATAGCTGATGCACTCAAGTTCAAGTTGTGAAACTTAGCTTGCATTTTTAATTTTAAGACAAAAATGATATTGCATTTAAGAATGTATATTATGGATTTTATTTGCAGTGGTTTTCCTAGAAAATGAGATTATGTATGGCGTAGGTTTTGAGGTAACAGATGAAATCATGTCCAAAGATTTCCTCATCCCACTAGGAAAGGCAAAAATTGAAAGAGAAGGTCAGTTGTGAGGGTTGTTTTACACCATCTGATTTATTACTTTGAATCATTCTTGATAATAAGTTCCCTATACCTCATCCTCTGAAGAAGAGCATTTGGTAGATAATGGATTATTTGCGTAGTAATTTTTAAAAAAAATTGGCTGTTTAAAAAGAAACAATCAGTGTAACTTTGTAGGCATCATCTATTTTTCATGATCCCCACCAAGTTTCAGTTTTTATATTAATACAATGTAACGTGAATTAAAGAATGTGCAAACTCTCGAATACACTTTTTTATATTTGTCTGATGACATAACTGAATTTGAAGAGCATTGGAAAATAAGTACTAGATGAAAGTTAAGTGTAACTGAAAAATAGTTCTTTGCAGGTCTAGTAGGATATTTCTGTAAATGCAAGGGATGTCAGCTCAAAGCGGTGTATTCACACTGTCTTTAAAAGACAAGTTCACAGTTAACTTGGATTCCTTTATTTCCTACAGGTACTAATGTTACTCTAGTAAGTCACTCTAGGTTTGTGGGTCACTGCCTGGATGCAGCTAAGGAATTGGAACAGCTGGGAATATCGGCAGAGGTAAGGCCATGGTCAAGTCTGTGTATACAGCAGTGTGAACTTGGCAAATTCCTTCAGCTGTTTTGCTTGCACCAGTTTTCATTACACATTTTCAATTCAAACAAATATTCCAGACAGTTTTTAACTTATTCAAAGCAGTGGAATTGGATTTCAAGCGATGAGAGACAGACCAAATATTTGCCTTGAATGATTTCTTGATAATGATGTTTATCACACAGAAAATTAGGAAAAATACTTAAAAATTTTCCTGAAAACATTAACCTTTTTTTGAGGGAAATGAATAATTGTCATTGTGATTATTTAGTTATTTATTAACCAATTAATTAATTCTCAAACACATAATTATACACTACTGTGATCTCAGTTAGAGTATTTGACTGGTGTTCTGCTGTACGACAGGTCATCAACCTGCGCACCCTGCGTCCCATGGACGAGGAGAGTATCATCAAGTCAGTGATGAAGACAAACCATCTGGTCACAGTGGAGGGAGGATGGCCACAGTGTGGGATAGGGGCTGAAATTTGTGCAAGAATATTTGAAAGTGAGTATGCTTTTACTTAAAAACAATTATTATTATAATTATTATTTTATTTATTTATTTATTATTTTTTTTTTTTTGGGGGGGGGGGTTCTTCAGCCTAATGTTGGGTGTCAGTGAGGGTATTGGTAAGAGAAATGTACTGGCATGGACATTCAGTCCAGCAGATTCAGTTGTTGGTCTTTTGAGTGTCTGAATTTAGTGTATCCTGTAATACTAACTGTTTATTGGTAACTGAACCCAGGAAAGCATCCAATTTTATTTTATAGACTTCAGTTTCACAACCTGTCTTGTGTCTCAGCTCAACTATTGAATGGGAACACATTTAATAGATGAAAATTCATGTTGGCAAATGATTTTTCCTTGTTTTAGATATAAAACTTCAGTTTTTTCCTCTTTCACATTATTTTTACTTAACAACATACATGTCAGCATTTTGAAACTAACTTGGCTCTGTTATATTTGGACTAAGATTTTAAACACACAACTGGACCAACTTGGACTGGAAATGAGCCAAATGTTTAAAAGTATACCAATAACAGAAATTTAAGCAGCACCAATCTATGTATTGGCATGCGCATGCAACTTCAGTTCAGTGAAGTTTACAATATGTTTCTCTTTCTCAGGTCCTGCCTTCAATTACTTAGACGCTCCAGTGGCCCGAGTGACGGGTGCTGATATTCCCATGCCGTATGCCAAAACTATGGAACAATATGCTCTACCACAAGTTTTTAACATTGTGAACTCTGTCAAAAAAGTGATGAATGTGCAGTAGATCTATTATTTTATTTTTTATTATTATTAATATTATCATAATTATTACTGTTAAAATGACAACCCTATGATATTTTCTGTGGAGTTTTGGGAAGAATAGATGGAGGAAGCAATTCATTCTCAGATTCTAGGATACTGCTATCACATGGAATAAAAGTTACAGATATACCATAGACATAAGGGTAGCATGTATATAGACAGCATTATGTTGTTATAATAACATACTTTCTGTGAGCTGCTTTTATTTTGAATGGTGTAGATTATGTTGTACACCCCGAGTTTGAGTATCAGATCTGTGACTATCACATACATGCATTGGCGTATTGAGGACAGGCTCTGATACTCACAAATCCAGGGTAGTTTGCTGATGTTTTTATTTATTTATTTATTATTATTATGAACTTTTTTTATGAATTGGTCAGAGTATACAGTGTAATCCAAGAGTAAAGATTGGTATTGACATAGCCTAAAATGCCAGTACAATCATAATGAAGTACATGTTGCTCACAGGAAGAAATCTCTGTCTGTTATAAGTTGAAGACAAAAGAATAGGGAGGCATCTCAGTGTGAAGGGTGCTAATATTAAGGTAATGCAGAACTAAATTTTCATATGAATATTTATCGCATTATATCTTACTAACAGTAACAGCTTGGACTGATGGAAATTTAGTTATTCACCAGTTATTATGACCTTTAATCCTGTTTATTATTTTATTATTATTATTTTTTTTTTTTTTTGGGGGGGGGGTATTAATTCATCTGAGGTACTAACTTTAATATATGATATACACTCAACCAAAAAAGTTTTTAAACATTTTGAATTATAATAAAATAATCATATGAGCTTAGGTAAACATTTCAACCAATTATTGATGTAATGTGCCCATCATTTGTTACTTTTTATATACAGTGAAGATTTTCCCACTACATTGCGTAGTCTTTAAATTATTGAAAAAACAAGTTCATGTTTCTGAACTTTTCTGGTCGAGCGTACATTACAGCCTTAAACTGCCATTCAAGATTTTTTCCCGATATATTACCCTCCCATACTTTGGATCTGCTTCCATTGCATTTAATTCTTGATTATTGTAAGGTGTAAGATAGAGGCTGCTACTCCATTGCGATGGTCAGTTTTTGGTATGCTTGACATGTACAAGTTGAAGCACTGTATTGTTGGCATAATACACTATGTATAATAAAAAATGTCAAAAGTACTTGACTGTGTAATCATAGATGAATGAATCTGTCTCTTTTCATTATAACACAATAGCAAATTGGCTGATGTCAAATTAAATTTATTACACAATTTTCTTTTAAAATCTGAATTTGAAAAGAGGAGTCAAAAAAGCTTCCTTGATGCAAATTAAAGTCCTTTTCACACAGAGATTTAAATGAATTAACACCACAAGGTTCTTTCAATTTCCATCTCAGTGTTGTGAAATTTTAACTTTGATTCATATTTAAGCAGAATGTAAATGTTTACAGTTTACTTTCACATGTAGACCACAAGGAAGCAGTTTGGGTCACCAAAATATTGAGAGGAGGACCCATCTCCAAAAATCCTTACAAGCAGTAACATACTATATATTCAGTGTTAGAAATTAAGGCTGGACCGTCTGCCCGGGGCTGACAACTTTCAGAACGGGCTGAGAAGTTTTGGCACCCGGCAGACATTCAGTCCAGTCATTTTTCAAGATGTCTGGACTTTCGGTCCAGCAACTTATTTTTCTAAGAGGCAAACACTGTATATATTACACATTATGTTCCACATGTCTTCAAACAGCGAAAAGATAAAACAACAGATCATAACTTCCAGGATGTGCCTGAACTTTATTTGCTTGTTATCAGGAGAAAAAAGTTCTTAAAAGTGTATACATAAACTGGATGACTGATTTTAAACACATAACGCAATAAAAAGCAAACACCAAATACTATTAATTAAGTGTATTAATGTGGTTGAGAATTAAATAAAAATAGATTCTCTGTGTCATACTTGTTGTGATGTAATTAACCAGTTTCTTGAAAGCTTTTTGTGGAGTATGAGTGAATCACACTTGCAATCAAATTTGTATTCAAATGTACTGAAACAGCCAAATTAAGTACCTAAAATGGCATTTTCTTGATTTTGATAATAAATTTGAATGAAGTTCTCACAAAGTCTTTCCAGGCAACAGGTGTTGGTGGTACAAAATGTACATGTTTACCTTTAAAATCTAAAATAAAGAAATGAACACACATAATCGGTATCAATTTAAAAACTCGTTAATAAGTTTGTATTGTCAGGTGTTTTTTTTTCAATACAAGTCGGCCAATAACTAGACAAATGATCTGTTTAAGTTAATGATAAATATTGGCAATAAAATATACATCACTGATCACCTGAACACCTTAAAAACAAGTTAAACACAATTACAAGGACATATCAACTGATGACGAAACAATCCATTCAAGTTATTTAAAACAGTAGTTAGGAACATGATAGAATATGAGGGTAACGACGGCTAAGCAACATGGTGATACTTTTTTGAAGTTAAAAAAAGGATAGACATTGTGTTCTAATATAATCAAAGAAAACTTAGTCAACATAATTACATTTCAAAATACAAACAATTTCTGAAAATTAAAAATTATTTGTAAAAATCTTAGCTCTTGTTATGATGTGTTCACAAATTTCATGATTTTAGTGTAACAATTCCAATTATGAAACAGAAAGCTACTGTCAGGAGACATGGGTTTCTTTCCCAAACTCTCCATAAAAGATCTAAGTATCATACACCTGAAAATGGTAATGTCTACATCATAAATAGAAAACAAACTGTTTTAACATCTGATCATATCAAATACTTGTCTAATTTTATATAAACAGCCTTATCTTAATGAAATTTACACATTGTCAGATTGTTGTATCTTTTTTAGTGTGCATCGTCTCTTTCTATGTGCGTTTCTTATACCTGCAGAAAATGAAGAATTTTCAAAGAAAAAAAAACTTTCAACTTTAGAGAATGTGACATAAGATGGAGGGGGCCTTGGGTTCAGAAGCAAATATATATATCATAAAGTCACCCTCTTTACATTGAAGTTACTTTTAAAATATATATTCATGAAAAACAAAACTTCAACGAAGACACACATAGTGGTCTACAGTTCTTATAAATATGACACAATTCACTTTTGCCCTGAAGATAGCCAAAAGCTTCTTACAACCACTGCATTTTGTGCAAAAGAACCACATAACTCATCCTGGCAGAGTAGACAAAATTGGCATCACATGATTTTTTCTTTCTCTTCATATGAATTGCCTATTTTTCTCATAATAATAATTAAAGAAAAAATCTCGTCTGTTTCCTTGGTCAGAGTGGTATGAGCTGCCACTGGTACAGAAGGCGCCAATCAAAGAATGTACATAACTATATCTAAGTAGGCTTCAACATAAGTCAAGATGATGCCAAGCACTAGTCATTCAGGTGCCTGATACTACAGGTAGGCTCCATGCATTAGCCAAGCAAGGGCTGGCATCAACCAGGTAGGTGCTTGGCATCGGTCAGATAGGTGCCTGACATCAGCCAGTTAGGTAGCTGACATCAGCCAGGTACAAGGTAGTTGACATCAGCCAGGTAGGTGGTAGGCATCATCCAGGTAGGTAGCTGACATCAACCAGGTTGGTGCTTGGCTTTGGCCAGGTAGACACCATATGTACCCAGTTTTTAACAAGCCAAGTAGGCAACAGTTTTAGAGAAAAACAGCAGATCTCAGTGTGGCACTGAAAATTCAAGGCAAAACTGTACCACATTTCCATTTGTTCCACGAAATATGAGATTTCTGTACAGTCATTTGGACCATTCCCATTCCCCTGACTGTTGTTCTTTACCAGCAGGTTTGTTTTGTGTGCATGCTTATCCTATGTCAAGTTGAAATTGTGGGTTTTGAACATAGGTGCTGATTTGTGCTGATATTTATTATGCTGCAATATCAAATCCAGCAGTATCTGTAACTGTACCCAAAACCTGTAAAACCTACAACACTTCCACGACACATAGACTTCCTACACTCCCTCTTGCCATCAGCTATAAAACTGCTCCTCTTCATAGACGAGTTTCACAGCTTCTAAGACATTTTTCACTGTGAACGTTGGCATCTTGAGATCCTCATCTACAGTAAAGTCCCTGTGATTGTGGTTAAATATATGCTTGTCACCCCCCTGTTGTTTGTAGTCCCGAGATTTGTCGTACACTCCCGTGAGAACCAGTATGGATTCAATGCTATCAGCACAGTCTAACACCTCGCAGTCGTCCTCTAACACATACAGAGGGTCCCCGTCCCCGTTTCCTCGACTTAGCATGATGCCGCTGCCCCCTTTTCCCTGTGACATTTTCTGTTTCCTGGAGGTGGGAAATCTCTTGTCTCGAAGGTAGCGATTGTACAGGTTGGCTCCGTAGATGTCCGTCTCTGGATTGTCACTACAATGAATCCAAAAGTAGAAATCTGTTTTAACATCATGTTGGAAAATATTTATATTATGTTATCTTGTAATTAGTTGTTTTTTCTTCTTTCTGGCTTTGAGAATACCTTTACTGCACACTAATAAATCACTACTAGTAATTCATTTTAAGTTGCGTTGCAAGATCTGAAAGATGGGAACCTTCTTATGAGAGAGAGGTGGACATATAATCTCCACTATATCTTTTAGCCTGACAGCCTGAAAACATCATCATGGTATTTACAATGGGGTAAGTAAAAACTGATGTTGACGGAGGTCAGATATTGCCCGATAAGGTTATAGCTGCCTACCCTGATATATTTAATTTAATAATTTTAACTTCCACTAACTATACGTAATTACTGCTTCACTTAGTGTTTTTTCCTTGTGAAAATAACATAACAGAGATATTTCAGAGAATTGCTGAAGGCAACTGAACCACAAAGACATTCAAACAGAGAGAAACATTTATCTTGAGTACCAGCTACCAGGTATTAGTTCTGGCTTCATATTGGCGATTGCCCAAGTACGTAAGCCTACCAAGATCACTGCCAAGGTTCCAGGTAATTTGGGCTAGCAGTATGTATAAATACTGACATTGCTCCAAATTCCTGCCACCTATCTTTGTTATGAGAACTTGAAAATTTACCAAGGGGGTGTTTAATAAACAAATCCTACTCATACATAGTTACCTGAATGTCTGGACTAATAATCAGACTGAACATGTATTATCTGATGAAAATACCAGTTCTAGCTATAGTCACTATAGTGATAATCAATTTGATATCCATATCTGGGCCTGCAAACATGTAATGCTAATTGAGCACATGGATAGCCAGTTGCATTGAATTACCTGAATTCCAGGAACTTAATTTCCAAGTTCAAAGTAACAGAAGTTTTGAATTACTTGATTTCCACATCATTCTGCATGTTGAGGTAGTAGCACAGCTAGCCAACTTGGTAAATTACAAACAAGTCAACTTGTGATTTTTTGAGTACTACAAGTGAAATGAAATTCACCATGCCTCTTTGCTTTGGTAGTTAAGTTTTAATAATGAGTTAACTTCAACATTTGCTTGCATAATTTTTCATCATGAATGTAGGTATCACTCTGTTAATTGCTAAGTGATGTCTTGAGCCTCTAACAAAGAATTAAATACCATCATTGATAATATCATAATTAAAAAAATCTACCACTTATAAAATTCTTTTAAAACTGTTACAGCTTTCACTTTCAATATACTCCATACTTGATTATTAGTAAGTAACTTATCAAACACAGAGTATATCTATTTTAATTTTATTTAAAAATAGCACACAGAGATGCCTGCAAGTAGTTTAGGAGACTAATGGCAAGTTTTTGACCAGTCTAATACTGCAAATATTCCTTAAATAATAAAAAAAAATCACTTTTGCAAAAATTTGGTAATGATATATTATCTCCCATAAAGCTTCAAAGACACCATCAGTGCAATAAAAATTTTCTTTTTGAAATGGCTTTTAAATTACTGACAATCAAATCACACAAGCTGCTCATCCCACCTGGAAGACTTAAAAGGTCAAACTTGTATTTTTTTTCTCTCTCTCTCTCTCTTTCTGAGACGGAAACTGTGCAGACACCTGATGAACTGAGACATAGTTATCCTCATAGCCTTAACCCGAGTTAAAATGATAATCCCAGGCACCCAGTCTCAGACAGTAGCTATCTATATGGTTGATGTTATTGGGTAAAAGTGAGTTCCTCCCATACCTACTGCTCTGGTTTTGAAAGCTTATTTTCAGGTTCACCAGCTCCACATTCAAACACCCACAAGGGAACATGTAACAAGTGCATGTGAACTGAAGCTCATCTTGTGGAGCTGTATTAATGACCGAGTCTGTACACATTCAGAATAGGCTAAGTATGTAATAAGAGCTCTGCAGCTATTAATACTGATATAATACATTTATGAAAATTAGTTAATACAAATAACTACAACCACTTATTACTGGGTTTACTCTGGAATAAAATTTCTAGTAATTAATCACTAATTTGAACTAGAACTATGAAGAGATAAATTTGGAGAAAAACAGAGAAGCAATTTAGACTTTCCTTAACTAACTTTAAAATCAGAATATGTGAATCTTACTATCATACACCAGCATTCGCCTGTGCTAATAAGAAAACCTTTCAGTTGCCAAACAGGTATTTGGGAGGCGTACAAGCAATGAAGGTCAGATTCATTGCAGTGCAGTACTACACCTAATCCCAGATACCTCCACATAACATACAAACTCTGAAACCCTGAACATACTCATTTAGCTAATCAATTATAATAAGTATAGTAACTTACATGTGTAAGAAAAGATTCAGTAATTTGTATTGGACTTATTTTGGTACTAAATATTTTTCGGGCAATCACTAAAATACCAAAACACATAATGGCAGAAATAACTGACACATGCTTTGATAATGAAAAAAAAGTATACACGTTTATTAGGTGCATTAGTCTCTAAGACTGCCATTTCTTTTTTTTTCTTTAACCAATGAATCAAAATCCAAGTCAGATCTGTACTGTCAGTATAAAGACAGCATAATGATAATCTCTGAAACGATAATTTAATTGTTTGTCTATTAATCAAACAGAAAATCACTTACAAATAATAATTAAAAGTTAACCACCCACAATTATATTCTAAGCAATACAGTCATATAATTACAAACCATCTAAAAACTGGCCAATAAAAAGCTTATACACAATGTCACTTAGTTAAATTACCTGTAAAACCCTCTTTACACTTTCTGCGTCCATGAAACTGGTATGGCTGTGGTCGTAGAAATGAGGCACAAGCATCGCTTTGGATGCAGAAAGAATGCTTCGTGATTGGCCAGTTGTCGGCACGTAAAGTATTTTAAATATTTTTACTCTCAAACAGAGCTGTACTACAGGATGCAGAGAGGACATCGTCCAGTGTAAAGGGGGCTTAGGTAATTTCGCATACAAACAATTCCAGTCACTCACCCAATGGCATACAGGCGGTGTAGTGGTGTTTCCAGACCAAGGCTCTCAGCATGCTGGTTAATCACATATTCCGCATGATGATACGTAATCTCGCTTGGTTTGCCAATTAGGGCAGTGTACTGGATGTGTCGACCTGTGATTTTCTATAAAAGATATATAATACTTATACATAAATAAATAAATTAAAAAAATAATTTATAAAATAAATAATACTTCAATCAACAAAGATGAACATTCCAGAAACTTGTAAAACTGTCGTAGTAGTCTAGGTATGAAGTCTCCCACTTATAAATCGTAAGCAAAGCTGTTTCAAAATTCCACAGCAAAGAATTTATTTGCAATCAACGGGGTCTTTATACTTACATGATACAGCCCTTCTAGACAGTGCAAGAAGCAGCCATGACCAAACCTGAATCCCACAATATAGTAAGTTATAAAAACATGACACTGAAACCCATCTATTACAATATACATGTCAAAATATAGAGTTTGTTTGCAATTTGGCTCATAACATAAAATTATTTGATAATACTGATGTACCTTTTGTCATACTATCACTGCACATCAGCAGCATTCAACAAAAATTATCTTTAAACAATTTGGTGGTAGTAAATGATTGCATACTAGGATATAGGAAGTTGTTAGGCCTGACAACTGTGTCAATTGTGACATTGTTGTTGATGTGACACTGTCTCAAATGTTCAATTGCGTTAGGTGTGACAATGTGGTAGATATGACAATATCTTACGTCATGTGTGAGACTGTAACTGGTGTAAAATCATCTAAGATGGGACATGTGTTCAGCGGGCCATTGTCTAGGTGCAGCTTCATGTTTTCAAAGATATATTTCGTTAAGTCAGGGGTTTAGCCAGGATTTTGAATCTGGGAGCCCAAATTCATTTTACTACTGAGGCAGGCCATCTATGCTCCATTTGATCCAACAATAAAAATCTTTAATCGCCTGACACTCTGACACGCCTCTTCGAGCAGCTAGAAGGTCTAAGTCACATTTCACTCACCTGGGCATACAGGCCTCAGCCATCCACATTAGGTCCATATTACATGCTAACAATGGTATATGAGGGTAAGGTATATATTCTGGGGCAGTGTCTGGCTTGCCATTGGTTAAAAGCAGGTCTAGTATGAGCTGGAGGTTTGTCTCCCACCTTACTGGCTCTCCAAATAGTACAATAGCTAAAATATAACATATAATAATCACAGATCATAGACTATGTATATTCATCATTCAATCATACATAAATTATATAGCCAGTATATAGCTGTCATGGTTACCTAAATGGCTGAATCTGTCAATTTTGTGGTATACCAGAGATATACTTTGCAATAAATAAATAAATAAATAAAAAAAAAAATAAATAAATAAAATCCATAACACTACAATAATTGATCTTTTAAATTTTCCTCAAAATCTTCCCAAACTGCAATATGTTATTTTAAATAAAATTGCTCTACAGTCTTATCATACGCCCCTTGGGTCTAGCTCTCTCCCACAGTAATGTCTTGTTCAACTAACTGTTAGTTAAGTAAATGCATTTTATTTTCAAATGCTAATCAGAATAAAAATATATTACTTGAATTTTACTCTGGAATAGACTGTAGTCTGAAGAAGATAATAACGTCTTTTTTTTTTTTTTTAATTCAATACTTAAAATCCAAGTTCAAGACTGCCACTGTTGCATTTAAACACATTCCTTACTGTGTTGGATTTTTAAGTCTCACTTTTCAAATGTGTATATTATCCAAGAATGGATCCCTTTGCAAGACATGACAAAGATTTTATCATTTCAGTGAAGTAAGTGTCTCTTACCTTCTATTTTTGGAAAAAACTTCTCATATTTCCCAGGCTAAAAAAAGAACAGGGAAAAATTGCAAGTAACTCTTACAAATACTTACTAGTTAGCCCTTTTTCACTTGACACATTAATATATATTATGCAATATTACACATTCAAATTTCATAAATAATGTAAATCTTTTAGGCTACTAAGTACTTTGGGGTTAGGATGTATTAAAAATATCCTAACACTGCTGGTAACCGTATACGAGTTCCAAAGCCAATGGCTTACTTTATTTCTGAATCATTATTTACACTTGGCTTATTAGAAATGTACTAGTACAGTAAATAAATGAAATTGCTGTACATTTTTTGATGGTATCTTGGTTGGGTACAATTTTCCCTATAACAAATAACAAGTTCTGCCAACAATAATTTTAAAATTAAATTTGCAATACTAGCTCTAGGACAAATACAAAAATAACAAAAAAAAAAAAAAACTTTAATGGCATCATCTGAAGCAACAGGTTGCAACCATCATCAAAGCACTCCTACAGTGTTCACCCCAATTACCAGGTATAAACATTTAAAAATGTCTGATATCTCTCCATTAACCAACACGTGGCTGCAAATGAAAAGAAACTGACATGTATAATTATACTTGTCAAAGCACCCTTCTTTTTTTTTAAATATCTTATATCATTCAATCCTAACCAAGCATGAAGGGTCCCATACGTGATATGCATACAGGTAGAATAACAGACACTTTTCTTTCTTTCTTTTTTTTTTTCAGTTCAACAATGACCTGCATTTCTATTCCTGAATCATGTCAATATATTGTTAGGCAAGATGTACGACATGAAATTTTATAAATCACTATCTTTATGAATTATTTACATATTTTATTAAAACCATGTACTACATGCTTGACAGTGAAAAAATTAACTTGGGCATAATAAAAAAAATGCACAGAACAAACTTTCCAATCAAAGCACATTTTTGAATCATAAATATCAAACAGAATACAATTTTTGTTCCTTTTGTAAAGACCTTTCTAAGCATGTTGTAACAATTATACTACAATTCATGTTTGTCTCTGTATAAAAATATAAAAGAAAACAGCTTAATGAAACGTCCAAAAGGCAATAAGATTGCCAAGCCATTTTTGCAAGGCAATCTGTATTGATGTAGAGAGGGCAGTCATATTTTAATACAAAGCCATGAGCAATGCACTGATAGCATTTCATATTAGTACTGTTGAAAGTCTTCTGAAGTCTAAAAAGATCAATGCTATGTCTCGGCAACCCTTTTATTGTCAGTTAATAATCTCAGAAACACCTGTGATACCTATTTTTCATATACTAAGCATTTTGCATTAAGCTGAATTTAAAAATCATTATGGATTTTTCCAATATTCCCACCTGATCCCACCAAATTTCTGAATCATAAGAAAAGGGAGGGAGAAAAAGGGAGGGGGGGGGGGGGGCCATATACCATACAGTATACAAAAAATATTCCAAAGAGAGCTAATATTTAGCCCACCACATTTCTGTTCTCTTCCTTTCCCTAATTTCTCAAAATAATTACCTCTCTCCGCCTTCTCGTGTGATCCACCATGTCCAGCATGGGGAAGGTGCTTTTTAAGTTTTCAATGGTCACTACTTTAGTAAAGCCCAAGTTCTTGGCAATTTGCAGCACTGGACCTTGTCCAGAAACCAGAACTGTCTTGTTGTGGAACTGTTTGAACAGTTTTAGAGGGCTGTGTGACATCACAACTTGGTCCTGGGATACCTGAAAATAAAAATATCATCTTAATTGGACATAAGAATATCAAATATATATATTGAAGTATATATACTTCTATTAAAAATTACTAGAACTGCAACAGGAAATCAAGACAATGCCATATTTTGTATCACTATAGGGAAACAAGAATTGTGACATCAGAGTACATAGTCAAACAAATTGTGACATCACACTCATCTGTTTTTAACTATGATGTCACAATGCTAGACTAATATACATTAGTTATTATACTTGGAAATACACATTATTGAGTCACAATTCATGGCAATACAAATTATGACATCACAGTACAAGAAAAGTGTGACATCACAATATGATGTCCTGGAAACCTGGTAACATAATGCGTAAATCATTATGGAAACATATCTTGATAATCATCATAGTAATAATTTTTTTGACAAATATTGTAATTCCATAAGTATTTTAGTATACCAAATATGTTTTAAAATATGTTTAAATATTTTCAAACTTAAACAATCTTCACAAATCGTAATCTTATCTAGGTAACAATGACTATAATAATTACATCACATAGTGACTTTATCTTCTACTTCACTAGAAAAATATTGCCTTGACAATACAAATTATGACATCACAGATGATGTGACATCACAGATGGTGTGACATCACAATGCTCTGGAGAACCAGCTTAAATAATCATGGCAGTTATAATGCCAGTTATATACTCTGGTACTGAAGGATTGTTTAAGTCCAGATATATACTTATCCATGAAAATTATTACATTATCAAGCTATAAACCTAATTACTTCCATAAATCCTACGCTAATTTGGGAATTATTATCCAACTGATAATCTCCACACCTTTATTATCATCTTCTATTTTACTCTTTGCATTGTTCATCTCCTTACTCTAAATAACTAATAAAGAAATCATCTTACTGGTACTCCCAGCCAATTTGACAATTGTTCCGCCTTCGCCGACCGTAACGCATTTCCAGCATTTGTGACAAAGACACATGGGACTTTGAACTTTCCCGTATTTTGGTCTGTAAGTAAACTTATGGCCTCCTTGGAAGACGGCAGCACTTCTCTTCCTCTTACTATCACTCCATCAATGTCAAAGAGGAGGCCAAAGTTGGGGGCATGGGGTTTCCTGAATGCCTGCAATAAGAAAAATTTTTAATGTAAAATAATCATGGTTTATTTATTAACCAGGTAAGTTTACAATTCTCCAAAAGAAGAACAAAACCTGGTCCTCCACAACAAAGCAGAATTAAAAATTAGTAGTGTAGTGACACTGTGTATTACTTTAAGTTACTAGTAGTGAATTGTCAAAGGCTCCCTTTTCCATTATAAATTTTGACTAATTCACAAAGTGGATATATATAACTCTTATATTTTGCCTATATTCAGTAGATTTGGTTGCCACTCAATATCTCATACTTATTTGTCATTTTAAACCTGAAAGATCATTGTCATTTAAATCTATGTCACAAAGGCAACTATCTGCACCTATTAGGACAGATGCTACGCCTCTTTACTTTTTTGATACATGTGCCAGCAGTCCTTTTGCTGGAACTCAAACAAGGTCATCTTTTGAAGAGACACAGAAAAAATGTGTTCAATCCATCATGCTGTTGACTATTATGAACTGTAACCTACCATTTATCTTTAGCACAGTGAATAAACAAACAAAGCCAATTTTAAGATTCAACCAGCATAATATGCTCTGTGACACTGTGATGACTGAAAAAAAAAAAGAAAAAAGAATCTGTCAAAAAAAAAAAAAATTAAGACAGCTAAGATTTGAGTCCCCCAAACTGCATTATTCAAAAAGAATCCAACAGGTCTATCCCTACAACCTTGTTTTTCATAACTTCCTACAGGTAATTGTGACTGTCCTGACAAATTACGTATCAGTATTAACCATGATGCATTACATTATTGGTGTAAATGACAGCCCTTTTATTCAGGCACATCAACTATATGAACCGTTTCTAAGACTTCTTCCTGAAGCACTCTCAGTCCATATCAGAGCCACTTTTCAATTAGTTTTTCAAGGTGGGAGCCTGGCAACGCATTCTTCAATGGGGACATAAATGCACCTGCATCCACTTGTTCGTGAGTGCACAGCTATAATTCAGCCTAATAATTCTAAATTCTAAATTTTTTATATGCAGAGCAATATTGGCAATGTTAAATGGCATAAATTGACAATTTCAATCTCCACTAATAATACTTTGAATGGGCTAATTTTCATATACTACTAAGAGACGAATTGAATTAACTGCAGTACTTGATACAGCGACTCTGTTATCAAATTCTTAGTATGATATTATTCTAAAAATCAAATATCTGATCACAAGTGGCCTTCAGACAGCTCCACCTGATCAGTGCAGAAGTTTATTGATTGCAGTCCTAAGCTTAATAAATGCTCAATGAGTTGCACAGTTATCATTAACAAACATCAATAGTATGGTTGAAGATTCAAGAAGCAGGCCAGGTTGTCACGACATGAATGACCTTCTCTATATTTACTAGTACTGGACATAAAAATAAGGTCAATGAGATCAGATCTCAGTTGGTATCCATGTGCTCATTCTAACCATATATTAACTGCCACACGTATCTAAGATCTGGATAAAGTCAACTTGGCTACTGGCAGAGCAGTGCTATATATCGCTTTGGTGCACTATAGTCAACAAACTGCAGGCTATTGAAGATATCCTACTTGTCACAATGGTATATATATATATGCCTTAATTCCTCCTCCACCTCACTTAAGTCAAGACACAAAACTGGCTGGTTTTTAAACCAATTAGGTTCAACATATTTGGCAAAATCAATATTGATTTTTCTTTCAAAAAAGCCAACTGTTCCATGCACAGATGCACATATTTGTTGCGTACAGTATGCATGTGTGCAAACAAATGTACTCAACAAACCCTGTTCGCATACCAAGATTTACCAGAGGGTTCATTTTGTTCTTCCTGCATGCATCCTTGATTCATTGACATGTGTACTTACAGTAAGGAAATTTATAAAGACAATTGGGAATTTGTATGGGCATATATGCACATGGCATCTATAACAACCGAGTCACATCTTTTAAAATATTACATAACAACTTCAGGGGCGGATCTAGAGATATTTATTTTCTGAGAGTCTTCTGTTGATCCATCCTCTATTTTTGACCGTCTTCCGACAGAAAAAATTAGATACCCGTCAATGTAAACTTGAAAATCTGACCGTCTTCAGGAAGACCCAGAAGACGGCCTAAATCCGCCCCTGAATTTGGGCATACACTGCTACTATGGGTAGCATAAATTTTTCAGCACAAATCAGGGTGGGTTACATTGTTATTTATTGCCTAGTAGGTCAAACTTACCTGTTGGAAGTGTGTTGAAAGAAACCTCAGTACCATGATGGCTATCAACCGTCAACAGAAAAAAACCTCAATAATACACTTGACAAGTTCCTTTCTCTTGTTCCGATTCTCCCCTCTTTCCCAACAAAGATTACCTGTTTATCTTCAATACAGTCTATTATGCCTTTTAACATTCCAGGTATACCTTCAATCCCTGGCATTGAAATATTTTCTAGAATTCCATCTGCACTATTTCCAAGAGGTTTACAAGAGACGTGCAGCTTCATGCTGCTCCCTTATGTACTGTGACAGCTTGCTGCTTAAGTGTGGAATTTTGGTTGCATCAGCCGTCTTATGAATGAAGTCAGCCTAAAGCCTAAACACCAATGGTTACCAGGACTCAGAAAGAGGGGTGGGGAGGGACATATCGGCATGTTTCATTTCTTCTAGTCTTATTACTTTAACTGGAAAATCCACTGAGAAAAACATTGAACATGCCCGACTACATCTTGCAAAATAAGCTTCATAACTGTGAGCCATAAAAACCAAATAAATGTTGTATTTTAATATTCCCCAGACTCTAATAACCCTTCTCCGGTGACTGTAGAGAAATGACCTCATCCAACCACAGACTAAAACAGCTTGCAATCAGCGCCAGATCACTCTACTGTCACACACCTTGAACATGTCTGGCATTATACAATATAAAGTCCTGATTTGTTCATGGTTTGTTTTCAGACATTAATCATCGCAACTTCTAATATAATTTCAGACGTGAAACATTCAATTAAAAATTGACATTATAGGTTGAAACACATGACCAGGTTATGTTCAATTATTAATGACCGATGACCATATCAAAGGGTGACCATTAGCAATTCCTGATAAAATGCATTTAAATTTGAAGTCCAGTCTCAGAGCTAATAAATCAGTCAGCAGAGCAATCAGATGAGAATTTTATCTAAATGTCAGCTAAAGAGAGAAAATTTTTAATGTCATTGTTGGGCAATATATGACAGTGGTTGATTAAGATTAAATTAACATGCATAACAGTCTTACTTATTTGCCCAGTACACTCTAATATACAGTATACACTTTTTTTTTCTTTTTTGTTAAGTTTTGCTAATTTGGCATAAGAGAAAACTACATAAAAATTCAATGTCATTCTTTCCCACTGTGATTTATTAATTGAATCCCAGAAGTGAAAGTACTTTCCCTTTAATTTTACTTCACTTCCCCTTCTCGGAAAAACTGCACTAAGCAGCCTTCTGCACTGTTTACATTTAAGCTATCGGTACCCAAACTGAGTTTTACAAGTATACTACCAACGAAGGTGGAGTATAATCAAACTCTGTCCAGGGTAGTATAAAATGCCAAAGAAAGGAAGCGTGCCAAATAAAAGATTTCTCTCACACCTAGACCTGAGTTATTGTTTGGAATTGCATTCAGCCAATAAGTACTCAGGCACCTGAGCAGCCGTGTACAAGTATATGTATGCAAAGCCCTGGAGATATGTCACTTGATCATTTGTAGTCTATTCGGGTAAAACCTTGACCCTGCTTGACCAGTCGTAAACAACTTTACAGGTACTGATATATTATATACTGTGTTATATAAACTGGGGACATGAATACAGCTATAAGCTTACAACAAGGCATGGATTGAGTTCAGTGGGTTTGGTATAAATAATGCAGACATTATGCACAAGCCTCAGGTATATTTGTCAACATTTCCCATTTCTAATTCAGAATTTAAAAAAAAGGCAAATTCCTGTTAAAAAAAAACAGACTTTTAACAAACCAATTTGCACTTAAAATGCAATATGCCCCCTTCTCCTCTCTCTCTTTTACTCTCTGTCTCCCTCTCCCCCACATGCACAAACAAACAAAACGGAAAATGACCATTGTTACGTAACACATTCAATGAATTATTGAACTCCAGTGGACACATTGCGAGGGCAATGACCAGCACACAGAGAGCTGCTACCTGCGAGTTCACCTCCTGGGTCTGTGTATGAGAGAGTAAGAGCAGTACCTGGAGTTTATAATTTGTATTCTTTATTTCTGAAATCTAAAAAAAATTACCGAGAGAAACTAATGAGATAAACATGTGGACAGACAATATTTTATTTTAAACAAAATATATAACAGAGTAGCTCTTACAGTTCTGTATATAAAAAAGGGAGTCAAAAATATAGTTTAAAATAATTAACATTCAGTTTCATAGGTGAGGTGGGGTTACCTACAGAATACAGAATCTGTTTCTATGATGTCAAAAACTAATGCAGTTCAGTTGATTTGTGGTCTAACTTAATCCTGTAGTGAACAGACCCATAAGCCTGATGGCAAATTTATGGCCACATCTGACACAAAAACCATCAACATCCATGCCTACAAAAATATATACTACCTTATATTTCTAGGCATAAAATTCACATATTTTAAACAAACAAAAAAAAAAAATGGAGTAATATACCAGGGTATAGAAATCTATGGTCTTAATTCCTGCTAATATCTAGTATATCAAGCCCACTGATCAAAATCAATATAGTTTAATAAATTAATGTAAACTCAGTGATGCCATGCTCATATAACGAGACAGACTTCATATTCCCTTTTGTAGCAATGCTATTGATCCATAAGAGCAGAATAAGATAAGTTCAATTTCATTCACTGTGATAAATGTATTTATTATGATATTCCTAACATGGCCTGAATATATACACTTATTACTATAATCCAGTTGGATAGTGGGTGTCAATTAAAATGTGGTGTCAATTAAAATATATATATATATGTATACAGCAGACTTATAATTCTATATGTAGGAAGGCATAATTATTTTAATCTGACAGCATTAACTGTTCATGCTTTGAGTTATAACCAGTTGGAAATGAAAGGATCTAATATTCTCAACCAAACATTTGTTTACCATTGACTTTGTCAAGATAAGTCTCAGTCACTGAGGCTCAAATTACATGGTACAATTAACTACTGGGTATATATATATATGTCTGTTTGTAGACAAGATGTTGTGACAGAAAATGATAACTGTGAGTTTGGAAAAAAATATGTCAAGACATGCAAGCAATTCTGGACACACCATGGAGATATAGCTGCCTTAATAAAAGCCAGGTGCTGCTCTATTTCTACATTTTAAGACTGGGCTATTTATCTACACAACATTTATCTTAGGTAATTAATGTAACGTGTGTGGTAATAAAAAGGCCTACGTGATTCAAAGGTACGGCAATACACCCTAACAAAAGGCTACTAAAGAAGCATCTGGGGGTTGGAGCTATTTATAAGCCATTTTGAAAGTTAAATGATGCCTTGTTTTGAACTTGAAAAGGAAAAGATTGTCATTTAATTTCTGTTGTTTGCATATTATAGCAACTAAGGCCTGCCCATGCTTTGACTGAATCAGCAGACCAATGAAAGGGAGGGGGGGGGAGGAAAACTCTTTCCAAAATGAAAGCAATTAACTGGATCTGCTCCAGTGATTATGTTTTAACATTACAGTTTTCATGTGCCTAATTATCAATAATCTTAGTAGATATGATTATAACAAGTGCAATGGATATAAATATCTTAATGACATGCAATGTTTGGGACAAATGTATATGTCAAAATGTGTTTATATATCAATATGCCATTTATCATATCAACAAATGCCTCCTATTGTAATTGTATCAGAAAAACACATAACTTATGACAGTTACACATGTGGCACACTAACACCAATATGCTAAAACATACTGGTCTTAAAAATTACTTTCTCAATTGTTTAGTTGATGTGTTCATAATTTAATGAAAAAAATACTATGAACTGTTTTTGGCATAATTCTTTTTTAATTCAATATATATTATTATTTGAGTTAAAATCCATCTTCAATACAATCCACGTTTTTACTAAATGTGACACAGTACAAAATGTGTTGTCAATCATAATATGCAGCTTCAGCAAATTTTCACTTATCTCGCAAACGTTTGAAGGCAGTTTTTGTGTCAAATGTCGATTCTGACGGTTCAGGTTGAACATCATTGCATTGCATTGACAATCAGCTGATTAGTAGAACTCCCCTAGATTTTGACTTAAAATAAGTATGAATAACCAAAAAAATCGCCTTACCTGTGCGCTATATCTTCTTCTTCGTAAATTGCAAACGGCTCTGCGAAAGGTCGGCGGAGTGAGGAGAAATTTGCTATTGCATATCACAGCCATGCAACTACGACCGGCTGCCGTCGTCGCCATTTTCTAAATCACATACATCACAGTAGAGGTGTGTCTTAAACAGCCAATCAGATTGCTAGAAGTTAACATCACGTGGAAACACACGTTTCGCGGAACGGGACCCTGATCGGGTGAATCTTTCTTGTCAGCTTGTATGACGGACAGTGCATTTGTTTACTATGTAAAAGCCACCTTCTTAAATTTTGAAATCAATCAATATTTGATATATATAATTTCCTAACCTACATACAATTATAAAAATACTCGCGTAAATTCGTGTGGGTTGTCTCTGCGATCGTCATAAACAAACCCACGTGGTTTTGTTTATGACGTAAATAGTGTCATAGAACCAGTGCATATACACACGTGAGATGGAATCGTGATAAATGTAATGGTGTTGGTGCTTCGTTGTTTATCAAAAGATATAGGAAAGTATGACAAATATGTTATAAATGGGGTTAAGAGCAAATTACATGTTAAATTAGTGCGTTTGGACAGAACAATGAATCACCAGTGGCTTTGTATATAGTGAAAGGTTATCTCCAGAAATCAACGACGATTAATGCTTTCGTAAACAAGTTATGAATATCTTATGCGCAGGTTTGTGACACAGTTTCCGCGGATTTGTTTCAGATGTCCCATTACTAAACTCGTCACTGCTCATTAAAACTGACAAGGAAAATACTTATGTGTAAAAATATTAGCATTTTACTTGGATCAAGACATAAATAAAATCGATTGGATGTTTTTGCAATTGTTAATTATCTCTCTATTTACTTAATATTTCATTTATTTACTTATGGGATCTTTGTACTTTCTATTGCATTTTGATGCTGGAAGAAAGAAACAAATATAACAATCAGAAAAAAGAATGAATGAAAGAATTTTTTTTTAAAACATTCTTAACATTATTTTATTGAAAATATTATAGAAAATCTATCCTTTACATATTTACAGTCTGTTTTTTGGTTCAAGTTACACCAAAGATTGGTAACCTAAAACTTTATCAAAATACAAATCAAACAAAAATATGGTAAGTAGGTCAAAGCATAGACCGTAACAACTGAAAGCAGTTCCAAGAAAGTAAAGGCCCCCTACTGCTCTATGTAAACACTAATAATGTATGAGGAAAATAAAACCAAAATCCACAAGCAGTTTATGGTAATGGATAAACAGCTGATTTATGACATCATTCTTCTCACATTAGTCATCCTGTTTACAGGGCACTGCCCTAAAAAAAGTGCCTTGATAACACTGATGTCACAGTGCTTTAGTCCCAGGCTTTCCCATCATTCTTTATTTGATAATCTACACACTGACTCACAGCATAGGTGCCTGAGGTCTGTATTGTACACAGAGTAAACTGATGTTTATAATCTAGTAGTTAACAATCTGGAGTAAAAAAAATATAGTCCAGTTTGCAAAAGTCTTTTAATTTCTAGCTAATACCTAATTACTGCCTAATCAATGAATGGTTAAACATCCTTTGTATCTTGAATAGCTATGTTTTATCTCAAGTCGTAGAAAAAAAAACTTTCCTAGCTGCATACAATATTAGGTTAATTAGGCACCTTTTTGCATGCATGTATGTTGTGATTTATAGTCTGCAATAACTGAAGCCCACTGATGTTTACGAGTGATGTCAGTGTATTTTATAATATTTTATACATTCCAAGTTAAGATCAATCTAGTTTGCTCGTCCTTTTCATTGCAGCTCTTGATGATACTCCAAATGTTTTTCAGTTTCACAAATATATTTCTTCTGTATGTATCTGCCAAGTTCTACTATTATCCATCACAGTTCTCTCAGGTTTCATATTATTTCTCTATATCATATAGCTAAGGATCCACTGCCAGGAATAAAATCTTGCTCATTCCCATTTCCATATAATGAATGCCAATCACACAATTTTAGGAAAACTGTCATTTGGAATCAGTCCCAGCTGAGCATGAAAAGCAACTGCTTGTCAATGTTTTTTTATAGCAGTGATAACTTATCTTCGCCTCATATTTCCCAGACACAGCAGCTGTACCTGCCATATTTTTTTTTCTGCCTTTACATTTCCTTTGCTCATTGCATTGGCCTATGAAGGTTGCATTATACTCTACATGTTATATTCCAGATATACATCTTCCAGGGCATAGTCTCACGTGTCCAGCCCCATCATCTGTTTAACCTGGCCTTCCTCGGCCTGTAATGCCTCGCTGGCATATTTTTCTAAAAGTTCTCGTTTCTTTCTTTGAAGTAATGCTTCTTCAATCTGAAAGTGAAAGTGAAAGCAAAGATGATCAATGAGGGAGACCCTAAGGACTGTTATTTACTGATAATAGGGTGGTCCACAACCTGACCAGTTTGGTACATTGGAAGAGGTTGTGATAAAACCATATTAATGACTTATTTATACCCGAAAGGTGTTGTAGTCTTAAAAGATTTAGACAACTTCACTTACAATGAAGACGTCAACACCATCAAATAATATTTGATATAAAACACATAATCACAAATGCTTAAATTTATTGAAACTATATTAATTAATTAATCAACTACCCCCTAACATAACACAGTGAAATATGGAGTCAAAAATGAGATCACGCTAGTATATCTATACAAATTACGTAAATAACTAAGAACTGCAAAATTAAACATTAAATGGCTGGAACCAATGAGGA